GAAAAGAAAAAATAATATATAAGGTAATCTCCATAAGGTTATCAGCTGACTTCCCAGCAGAAATTCTGCAGGCCAGAAGGGAGTGGCTCGATATATTTAAAGCAATGAAAGGGGAAAACCTACAGTCAAGAATACTCTACCTATCAAGACTCTTGTACAGATCTGACAGAGAAAATCAAAAACTTTACAAACAAGCAAAAGCTAAGAGAATTCAGCACCATCAAACCAACTGCACAACAAATGCTAAAGAAACTTCTCTAAAAACCTTGCTGATATCAAGTATTTATAAAGACATGGAACAAAAGGATGTCACATGCAGTGCAGCACAGTAGAAATCCGTGCATCACCTATTAAAACTGACCAGTCAATTCTATTCCTACACACTTATGGATGCTAGCAAAATTCTTGCACATGTACACCAGGAGATGAGAATACAGTTTATAACAGTATTATTTGTTAATAAATAAAAACAACCTGAAATTTCCATTAACAGGAAATAAACAAACAAATGTGATATAATCGTAGCGTGGACTATCAAATAGCTGTGGACAGCAAGTGGCATGGACAAGTCTCAGTAATGCTGAGGGGGGATAAAGTAAGTCCCTGAAAAATATATTCCAGCAGTCAGGAAAAGATGAGATTTTGAAAACTGAGAAGTAAGTCAGACAAAGAGAAGAAAGGACACTGCAGTCATGGAGACAAGGAACAGCAAGACCCATTTAGGAACTGCAGATGCATGACACCTCCTCTGACGCATGTGTCCCTAACACAGAATTCTGATATACCCGAGTTCACTTCTGGATACCTTTTTCTGAACCGTGAGAAATTCTGTAAGTGAATTAACTGCTTATTAGGAATAGTTGTAGGAGAAGAGTGAGGATGGAAAGTCAATAAAAGATAAAGCAGTTAGAAAAGAAATAGAGATGATTACAATTAATTCCTCTCTAGGAAGCCAGGTGGGGGAAATTAAATCTTGTGGTTCTGCCTGCCCTCCAGTAGCATCCTAAAGAGGAATGGAGCAAAGGTCAATGTCGGTCATGCTTCAGTGTCAAGATTACCAAGATTAAAGGAAAATACACTAACCTGGGGGCTTCCCTAGCGGCTCAGATGGTAAAGAATCCACCTGCAATGCAGGAGACCCGAATTCCACCACTGGGTTGCGAAGATCCTCTGGAGGAGGAAATGGCAATCCACTCCAGTATTCTTGCCTGGAGAATCCCATGGACAGGGGAGCCCGTACAGTCCATGGGGTCGCAGAGTCGGATGTGACTGCGTGACTAACACACACGCTAACCTGAAGATTGAAAGCTATACTAACCTGGAGATTGAAGAGGGATTTTAAAAGTCAGAGACAACGAAAGCTTTTCTCTGTGCTTTTTCCACCTCAAGCACTTAAGTTATGGTGTCTGAGATCACAATGGGAATGATCAATGGTGTTTTTAAAAGAAAATATTTGTGTCCAGAAAGAAAGGTTACTACAGTAGAGCTTAGTACTCAATTTATTGAAGCTATAAACTCATAAATTGTTTTTATGGCTGTTTAAATTCAGTTTGCAAACCTTGCTTCTTTTTTTTCCCCTAAGAAATAGAGTAATTGTCCAAAAACAAACAAAAAACAAACAGAAACTCTATTGAAAGTGAAAAGTAAAAAAACCCTATTGGGCCTCCTAAATTTCCACTGGCCTTTCCTTATTTATCAGTGTCAGTGATAATCTTTGTAATTACATCTTCCATTCTTTCCACCATCCACCATTTACTTCAGAGTAGAGGCATTTGCCTCAAGTAAACAGACAACAAATTTTGACTAAGATGCAAGTTCTCAGGAAATACAAGGAGATTAGAAAGTGGACTGCACTAAATATTTACTTACTCTATGGACCTTCTTCTTTTTTCAGTTTGTCTTTCTTTACTAGAGTATAAAGCAGAAATCAGACACTTGTTTTTTCACTTGTATTTACATAGACAGTACTTAAAATAAAACCCACCAGATGACAGTCTTACCATTCTGCTTTTATTTATTGTCTGGCTAATTTACAAAGACGCAGATATCTAGGGTAGGTCCTACCCCACCATATAAACTATCCTGATGACATAGGTACCAAAATGTGCATGTTTACATAGTACAGTGGTATGAAAAACATTTTCTTGCTTTACAGTCCCTCACTATAAATAGGGAAAAATTAATTTCATCATGCCAGAAAATTTTGGGCACTTTAACAGTCATCACATTTCTGCTACTAAAATAACAAAATTGATATTACAAGTTAAAATATAAAGGCCTAACAGTTTTTACAAATATGCAAATAATCTGCTACTTAGACATAAAAAGTCAATTTCTCTCAAATCACCAAGTAAGGCACCATTGGATTAAACATTTTTCTTGGTTTTTACTAAATAAAATTCATACTGAAATAAATACTGAACACTGAATTTTAATACTGTAATACATTTCCATATAAAATGACATGTAAATGTTAAAATACTGTATTGCATCTTGAATACATTTACCTGAAAACGTTATGGGAAAAAAAACATATGTAAGCTCTGGTTTCAGGGAAGGATGTACTAATTTCTGTTATCTGCTATAGTTAAAGATTTTAGCATAGAATTTATTCAAAGTTTTGGACACAATTAGGTTTCTAAATTTCAAAGAAAGGGTGTACATGTATTAATGGAATATTCACTTAAAAATACATTTTAAAACATCTCTATCCTGGATGAATAGCAACTCTGAGCTGTGACCCTGTTTCACACTTTAGGATGGTACCTGCAAAGTTGGAATATATATAGAAATTGGCTATTCTTACTACCCCTTACAAAATTCAGACCCATTTTTTGGGGGTCAGATTTTTCTCTGCCATATTTGCTAGGAGAGTTCAACTCCATCTTTCCTGAAGTGGGTCAATATGCTTTTATCATAGGGATTTTTACCAACTATTGATATCCGATCAAAGAATTCAAAATAAAATGATGCCATATTATCAAAATATTAGAGATTAAAAGCTTTTTTCTGAAAATACTTTACCAAGTTTGTTACACCTTTATATTCCTTGATTTTCTTTGGGTAAAGGGCCCCAAGTGAATGTATGAAAGACAAATGGAATGGTAGAGGAGAAGTGGGGAAAAACCCAAGTTATCTAATGTACTAATAAACTCAGAACTTTGGCAAGGAAAGTTATAAAAATACAATATACTCAAATGGGCAACTTCATAATTTATTAGACATCCCATTTATTAGAATTCTAAGTTCTTTTGATTTTATAAAAATGAAACAATTATTCTATAAATATGAATGCTTCTTTCAAATTTTTCTTTGGATTGATTTCTTGTTAGCATCTCCCAGGAATACATGAACAATACACTGAAACCATGATACAAGGTTTAGGTAGATATACATATACATATATAGCTGTGAACTTTTAAAAAATAAGTAATGGTAATTTTAAACATAATCAACTATATAAAACATCTAAATGGAAATAATTTTTTCCAAGTCTATAGCTAGATTTAAAAGTCCCAGTAAGGTTTTGTAAACAAAATCATACAAAAAAGGCAAGGCTGGCTCATCCCTATGTCCTCTGGGGGAGCTTTATTTGCATAGATCCAAGGCAAACGATTCTCCCAGATAGATTCAAAACAAGTTCCCTCCAATTTCCAGCAGCAATCTCTTTCTCTCAACCCCATAAGCATCAGATTTCAAATTTTAGAGTTTTGCCCATCAATTAAAATCTGTTCCCTTCTTCCACATTTCTGATTTGCTACCTTTCTCTGACTTTCCCCAACTATGGAGCCTATGAGCCTCCTGCCCTAAGGAACAAGCTGGGCTGGAGAGGAGTGAAGCCACTTGAAATGCGTTAAGGCAGGAGGCCAACCAACAGGTGAGCTTAAGGAAGCTGGTTCTGAGCTAGAGAGCCCCGACTGGCTTTCAGTTTCTTTTCAATGGCTTTATTCCACATAACTGTAAACCCTATTAGATCAATTTCTGACCTTGGTACTGTGAAGCAACACTTGTATACAGATTTCAAGGGAAGAGGGAAAATAAGGGAGCAAAATCTAAGGAAAACTATTTGCCAAACAAGGGTCCTAACTTTATTTTTAGCTACCTCTTGAATTGCTATAGCTCATCTGGCCTTTTCTGTTTTTGAAACAAGAGGTGTTTGCACTCGGCTCTATCTTATAGAGCTGTACTGTCTAACATGGTAGCTACCAACCATGTGTGGCTACTGAGCACTTGAAATGTGACATGTCCAAATGGAGATGTGTTCCAAGTGTAAAGTACACACTGGAGTTTGAAGACTTAGTACCAAAAAATATATATATATATAAAATATCTCATTAAAATTGTTATACTGACTGCAAGTTGAAATGATATTTTGGATATTAGGGTTAAATAAAATATATTAAAATTAATTTCACCTATTTTCCTGTTTTATGTTGCTACTAGAAATTTTAAAATTGTTTACCTGGTTCACATTATATTTCTATTGAACAGCTCTGTCCCAGGGCTTACCTCAGACCGCCCAAGATTGGACATCTTATAACTGCAAATATTTTATGTGAGCAACTTGTTTAGGTGGTCTGCGGTTCATGGAAACAGACAGGAGGCCAAACATGCAAAAAAAGTCATGGAAACAAACAACTCTCAGGGACCTTAATACTGTGGTTTGCAGCAAAAAAGCAGTGAATGTTTGAATATGGTTGGTTGAAAGCTGGGACACAATTTCATCGCTGCCTACCTGTCACAAAAGCCTGTCGATCCCCAAAGCAGCCAACAGGCTGTAGCTGAAGCAAGCAATAGCCTTAAGGATATACACAATATAAAAAGCAAGGTGCATACCTTTGCTGCATACCCACCCTACACACACATAATCCCACATCACCTCCCTTCTTCCCTATTGCCATTAGGAAGGGAACAAGGGAGGACAGAGGACGAGGGTGTGCGACTTGGACAGCAATGACAGAGGGAGCTCTGGCGCTTGAGTGTAGAAGAGCAGGCAAGGATCACCTCGGGATGGGAGGAAGGGGTGGGGCACCCCTCTCTCTTCGGTTAGATCCACCTTGATGAAAAATTAGACAAAACACAAATTTTGGTTAGAAAACTTATGTTCTCACTGTAAAACTCAAGAATGGTTGCAAAAGTACCCACCACCCCCCGCCTACCCACCACCCCCCGCCTACCCATGATCAAGGCTGTAAACAACAAGCACACATGCATGAGAAATGAAAGAAAGAACCGGGTAAGGATCTGAACAAATTTTACTAGAGAAGGAAGACCTGCCACTGAACTTGTGGGAAGTTAAAGTACTTTAAAAATTACTTTTTTTTCTCATCACAAACTTCGTATATGTGATTATACATATATATATTATAGACTGAGAAAATATGGACGAGAAAAACAAAACAAAAATTCATTAATGCTTGTACCACCTGGAGATAACCTATAACGTTATGTGTATATCTGTTCTTTTTTCTTCCAAAAGCAGGATCTTTTGAACACTTTTCAGTCATTCGTTATAAATATAATTATTAATGACATATTGCATTTTATTATAGAAGTATACTATAGTTAATCTAATCAGTTCCCTTTTGTTGGGCATTCAGTTATCTTCTCCATTTCTAAATACTGCTTTTTTGATAGCAGCCATCCTAATGAATGTAAAGTGTATTTCATTGTACTTTGATTTGTGTTTTCTTAATGGTTAGTGGTGGGATGACTCCATGATGGTGGAGCAGACAGAAGTGAGCTCATCTTCTTCTGCAAGAGCTCCAAAATTACAACTCACTGCTGAATAACCATTGACAGGAGAATGTTGGATCCCACCAAAAAAAGTTACTTCAGTATTCTTGCCATGATAACCCCATGAACAGTATGAAAAGGCAAAAAGGTAGGACACTGAAAGATGAACTCCCCAGGTCGGTAGGTGCCCAATATACTACTGGAGATCAGTGAAGAAATAACTCCAGAAAGAATGAAGAGACAGAGCCAAAGCAAAAACAACACCCAGTTGTGGATGTGACTGGTGATGGAAGTAAAGTTCAATGCTGTAAAGAGCAATACTGCATAGGAACCGGCAATGTTAGGTCCATGAATTAAGGTAAATTGGAAGTGGTCAAACAAGAGACAGCAAGAGTGAACATCAACATTTTAGGAATCAGTGAACTAAAATGGACTGGAATGGGTGAATTTAACTCAGGTGACCATTATATCTACCACTGTGGGCAGGAATCCCTTAGAAGAAATGGAGTAGCCTTCATAGTCAACAAAAGAGTGTGAAATGCAATCCCCAAAATGACAGAATGATCTCTGTTTGTTTCCAAAGCAAACCATTCAATATCACAGTAATCCAAGTCTATACTCCAACCAGTAATGCTGAAGAAGCTGAAGTTGAATGGCTCTATGAAGACCTACAACACTTTCTAGAACTAACACCCAAAAAAGATGTCCTTTTCATTATAGGGGACTGGAATGCAAATGTAGGAAGTCAAGAGATAACTGGAGTAACAGGCAAATTTGGCCTTGGAGTATAAAATGAAGAAGGTCAAAGGCTAACAGAGTTTTGCCAAGAGAACACACTGGCCATAGCAACTGCCCTCTTTCAACAACACAAGAGAAGACTCTACACATGGACGTTACCAGATGGTCAATACCAAAATCAGATTGATTATATTTTTGCAGCCAAAGATGGAGAAGCTCTATACAGTCAGCAAAAACAAGACCAGGAGCTGACCATGGCTCAGATCATGAACTTCTTATTGGCAAATTCAGACTTAAATTGAAGAAAGTAGGGAAAACCACTAGACCATTCAGGTATGACCTATATCAAATCCCTTACAATTATACAGTGGAAGTGACAAATAGATTCAAGGAATTAGATCTGATAAGAGTGCCTGAAGAACTATCAACGAAGGTTCATGACATTCAAGGCAGTGATCAAGACCATCCCCAAGAAAAAGAAATGCAAAAAGGCAAGATGGTTGTCTCAGGAGGCCTTACAAATAGCTGAGAAAAGACGAGTAAAAGGCAAAGGAGAAAAGGAAAGATATACCCATTTGAATGCTGAGTTCCAAAGAATAGCAAGGAGAGATAGCAAAGTCTTCATAAGGGAGCAATGCAAAGAAATAGAGGAAAACAATAGAATGGGAAAGACTAGAGATCTCTTCAAGAAAATTAGAGATACCAAGGGAACATTTCATGCAAAGATGGGCACAATAAAGGACAGAAATGGTACGGATCAAACAGAAGCAGAAGATATTAAGAAGAGGTAGCAACAATACACAGAAGAACTATACAAAAAAGATCTTCATGACCCAGATAACATGATGGTGTGATCACTCATCTACAGCCAGACATCCTGGTATGTGAAGTCAAGTGGGCCTTAGGAAGCATCACTGTGAACAAAGCTAGTGGAGGTGATGGAATTCCAGCTGAGCTATTTCAAATCCTAAAAGATGATGCTGTGAAAGTGCTGCATTCAATATGCCTACAAATTTGGAAAACTCAGCAGTGACCACAGGATTGGAAAAGGTCTGTTTTCATTCCAATCCCAAAGAAAGGCAATGCCAAAGAATACTCAAATGCACAACTGCACTCATTTCACATGCTAGCAAAGTAATGCTCCAAATTTTCCAAGCCAGGCTTCAACAGTATGTGTACTGTGAACTTCCAGATGTTCAAACTGGATTTAGAAAAGGCAGAGGAACTAGCGATCAAATTGCCAACATCTGTTGGATCATCGAAAAAGCAAGAGAGTTCCAGAAAAACATCTACTTCTGCTTTATTGACTATGCCAAAGCCTTTGACAGTATGGATCACCCCAAACTGGAAAATTCTCAAAGAGATGGGAATACCAGACCACCTGACCTGCCTCCTGGGAAATCTGTGTGCAGGTCAAGAAGCAACAGTTAGAGCTGGACATGGAACAACAGACTGGTACCAAATCAGGAAAGGAGTACATCAAGGCTGTATATTTTTACCCTGCTTATTTAACTTATATGCAGAATACATCATGAGAGATGCTGGGTTGGATGAAGCACAAACTGGAATCAAGATTGCAGGGAGAAATATCAATAACCTCAGATATGCAGATGACACCACCCTTATGGCAGAAAATGAAGAAGAACTAAGAACCTCATGATGAAAGTGAAAGAGGAGAGTGAAAAAGTTGGCTTAAAATTCAACATTCAGAAAATGAAGATCATGGCATCTGGTCCCATCACTTCATGGCAAATAGATGCGGAAACCATGGAAACAGTGAGAGATTTTATTTTTTGGGCTCCAAAGTCACTGCAGATGGTGACTACAGCCATGAAATTAAAAGATGTCTGCTTCTTGGAAGAAAAGCTATGACCAACCTAGACGCATATTAAAAAGCAGAGATATTACTTTGCCAACAAAAGTCCATCTAGTCAAAGCTATGGTTTTTCCAGTAGTCATATATGAGATGTGAGAGAAAGCTGACCACCAAAGAATTGATGCTTTGAACTGTGGTGTTGGAGAAGACTCTTGAGAGTCCCTTGGACTGCAAGGAGATCAAATCAGTCAATCCTAAAGGAAATCAGTCCTGAATATTTATTGGAAGGATTGATGTTGAAGCTGAAAGTCCAATACTTTGGCCACCTGATGCGAAGAACTGACTCACTGGAAAAGACCCCGATGCTGGGAAAGATTGAAGGCAGGAGGAGAAGGGAACGACAGAGGATGAGATGGTTGGTTGGCATCACTGACTCTATGGACATGAGTTTGAATAAGCCCCAGGAGTTGCTGATGGACAGGGAAGCCTGGCATGCTGCAGTCCATGGGGTCACAAAGAGTTGGACGCAACTGAGCAACTGAACTGAACTGAATGATTAGTGATGTTGAGCATCTTTTCATGTGCTTATTAGCAATCTGTATATCTTTTTTCAAGATATATCTATTCAAATATTCAACTCATTTTAAAAATTGGGTTTTGTTGTTGAGTTATAGGAATTCTTTATATATTCTAGATATTAATCTTTTATCACATATATGATTTGCAAATATTTTATCTCATTTCATGGATTGTCTCTTCTCTGTCTTGATGGTGTTCTTTTAAAAACTATGGGGTCGGGAGGGAGGCAGGAGGGGCGATCGGGATGGGGAATACATGTAAATCCATGGTTGATTCATGTCAATGTATGGCAAAAACCACAATATTGTAGAGTAATTAGCCTCCAACTAATAAAAATAAATGGTAAAAAAAACACAACTATGCATATCTGTGGGCTATGAGCACACCATAACTTGGTTTAAAATCCATTCACAACTAAAAAATTCATTTGTCCCATACACATTTTTTTGAGGCTCTTACAGGTGTCAGGCATAAAGCCAGGTGCTCAGATGCTGTGAGCAGGTCAATCAGGGACTCGTTTCAATAATGCAGGTCACTAGGGCCACTGTTATTAGACTCAGGTGGGCTGGCACTGACAGATTCCTCAGCAGGCAGCCACTTTTCTGACAGAAACCAAAATAGCCCACTTAGGGATTTCTGAGTTAGAACAAAGCTCTGACCAAGAGGAAGAGCTGGAGGAAAACACCGGCAGTCCATTACCTCACTTCTTCCTCTTTTTATCCCAGCCAGGTCTTTTTTGGGGCAGGGACCTGACGAAAGACCGCCCAGATGTAAGCCAGCCATCTGTCACGAAGCCCTGACCATCAACTGATAACACCACAAATGGTTAGCACATCGAGGGCTGGCCTTGTGCAGAGCTGCAAGTAGGCTGTGCTATTTAGGGCTGTCTGGGTGCCCTATCAGGGCACCTCTGCTTGGAGGCAGAGGCAGGTACAGGAGCAGGGTAAAACCACTCCATGGTACTTTGTGTTAGACATGCCTAATGCTAGAAATATTAAAGGTACAAGAACATTTTTGGAGAGCTGTGGAAATTAATTCACCAATTTAAGAAATATTTTTAAATGCCTACTGTATTTCAAGCTCTGTGCCACTTGCAGAAGATGCAGTAGTGAGCAGGGACATGGATCCAGTCCTCAAGTTGCAGACAGTCATGAAGACAGGAGGTTGGGGGAAAGAATGTGTTCAGCTATTAAATTAAAAATCTAAAGGGGCTGGGGAGGATGGTTCTGTTACTGACTTAAATACATAAATAGTGCAGATAGGGTGAGGTGAGGAGAGAGCAAACTCAAGAATATTTGTCACATGTGAAGACTTTTTCACCAGAAATTTCAACCACCAACTACTGCATGATAATTTTATTACAGTTATGCCTCTTTTATTAGGCATTATCTAGAATTCAGTATTCCACATAACTTTTTCTAGGACTTAAACTGGTCTTTTCAGTAAAATATTCTGTTTACTTTTGGCATTTTTTTCAGGGAAAAATTTTCTAATTCTTTGAGTTCTTCAAAAGAGGAACAAGGCAAAATTTGTCCGTTTTTAGTAACCCACTAGACGCATCTGGTATAGTCTGGTGATACCTAGCACAGCGGTGTCCCTAGCTTCTCCTTTGACCCAAGACTGCCACCTATCATCTCCGCAAAGTCAGTGATTTTGCTTCTAACCAACCTTGACTTCAGCTGATACTAATCTGCTCTAAGGCTGGGAACCAACCAACCAAAAATTAAGAACTATGTATTAAGAAAGAGTCAGTAGGCTCAGAGTATATGAAGGAGTTCTGCTGGACAGTGAGCACAAGGCTAGGGCTATGTGACAGCTGTCTGACTTGCTCATGTACTTTTTCTCCACACATCTGTGGCTTGGGAGTTTGGTTCTGAAGCTAACACTGTTATAAGACAGAGCCCCATCAAAGATGTATGTATATTTCACGCTAATTCTTCCTTAGCTGTATACATTTTTTGTTAAAAAAAAAATCTAAATGTCCAATAATGGTAAACTAAATTATTATAAGCTGACTTGATGGAATCCTGTAAAATAAAAACCAAGGGATAAAATAGGGAAGTATTTACTTAGCAATGTTATATAAATCTCATCACCCCAAAACCCATATTCTATAACTATATACATTAATCAGAATTAGATAGATAAAAATTAAAGAGAACCTGGTAAAATGAAAATATCTGTTATGCAGAGAGATTATAGGCATACTTAAAATTTTCATGTAATGCTCTGTAAATTTATATTTAAAAGATCAAAACAGTTACAGTGAGTTTTTTTTTAATAACTAATAAGACATTCTGCCAGTCTCAAAACTAGTAGAAATAGAAGAGACTCTAATTGTGCCAACTTTAGGAAGATCAAAATGGGAAAAGATTGTCCAAATAAGCAAAAAATAAAATTTAACCTACTAGTAAACTAAAGGTGTTTTGAATTTATAATGACACATTAAAATAATCGCTTCTCATATGCATTCTGGATGTCTCCATTTTCCTCAATGAATGTAGAAGGAGAGTTTACTAGAATTTAAATGGTTCCAAATCCAGGAGTAATTTCTCTGAAATCTCCCCACTCCAGACAAGAGACCTGGATTTCCTACACAACCCTCAGTTGTGTACAACCCAGGCTACTCAAGTATGAAGCCATCTAAAAGCCCTTGTAGAAATACTCACTCCGGCTTTCATTTCTCGCCAGTTTACTGGGATAACTTTTGGTTGTTGGTACATATGGCTCTGGAGGTGGCAAATCAGAAATCGGATGGAAGTAGAATCTGCTTTCCCACTCATCTGAGGGAGAGAAACAAACAGTATCTTCAGTAACAGACAATCTGTTCTGAAGACTACTATAATGAAAGGCACAGAATGAAATAGAACAGCAGAGATCACATCTGGTTTTACATCTACAAGTTTAGAGAAAAGCCCCCAATGCTACCAATGTCACTGAGTACCACAGTGATAAAATGTACTGGTCTGCAAATCAAACCAAAGACAGATCCAAGTGACTTTAACTAGAGTGACTAGGACCCAGCCAGTTCCTCTCAGGAGATGAGGGCTGGGGTTTGGGATACTTTTCTTAATTATTCCTCCACCAGTGGAAAGAGTAACTGATAACAATGGCAGAGATAAACTGCTCAATACCTGCAGGCCACCAGGCCTCAAACCCACAACAAACTGTTCAGAAAGGTAGGTAATAAAAAAGGAAGCTACAAAAATGCTTCTTTTCAGAATTCTAGAATCTCTGGAAAGTTAACCAAAATGAGACTCAAACAAGGAACAAAGAATAATGATCTGCCTTTTTGCAAGGAAAAGGGATTACTGTTTTTCATTTGAAATCATAGTGGGCCCTAGAATGCTTAGATTAGTGCTGTGCAGTGTGATAACAATGGAGGTCACACAAACAAGAAATGTTCATGCAAACATACAAACACACCTGCCACTCAATTGCTGACCCGTTATAGATTCCCAGGAGCTGGGTCCACATCTTACCTTCACATGAAGAATCTTGGAAGCCATTTCTAATTGATGTTGATGGTGGAGGTGGGGGAGGCGCCCCAGTGCCAGGCCTTTCAGGAGGAAGAGGAGGCCGGGGCCCACTTCTGGGACTAGAATCTATTCCACTCCTGGACGGCAACTGAGGGGTGGCGGGCAGGGCCCGAGATGTGCTGCCATTTCTGTTCATTGGAGGAGGTGGTGGGAGAGGGCCTGGAGCCAAAGAGAAATGACATTCAGTGCTATACCTTACACACTATATTACCATTATCATCAACATGCAGTTACTGAGTAACTGAGCCTGCTGGATACATGCCCTTTTACTGGAGAAAATAGAGAAATGGTGGAGACTTCCTAGGAGCTTTAGCCAAGAAATGAGGCACATATAAACACAAAAATGCATAAATGTACACACATGTGGAACAAATGCACACTAATGGCTAACTGGCTATTTGGCTTTGAGTCAGTATTGAGATTGGAGATGATGTAGGTGAGAACAGGTAATCAACATCTGTTTATACTGACAACTGTGTACTTTAAAAACATTTAAAATTCCTTATAAACAGCTATTGAAATAGTTTCTGTGACATACTACTTATTAAGTAAATGTTTTATTTTTTATTTATTTAACTCTTTTTTTTTTCCAATTATTTTCATTAGTTGGAGGCTAATTACTTTACAATACTGTAGTGGTTTTTGCCATACATTGACATGAATCAGCCATGGATTTACATGTGTTCCCCATCCTGAACCCCCCTCCCAAAAGTAAATGTTTTAAAAATAAGATAGCTATGAACTTATTTTGGGTCTCCAGAGGAATTAACTTTTTAAATGCAGAGTATTATTGCTAATTATACAAGCATGTTTCTGTGATGCATATAATCTATTTCCAGACAGAAGTGGGATCAGGAAACCAAATATTAGTCATCCTGAGATGAGCAGGAGTTCCTTCTTGGTTCTTCCTCTTAATCTGGGGAGGCAGATTAACACAGGGAGTGACAGCTAATCAATGTGCATTGTTATAAATGCTACTGCAGGACACTGGCCCCACACAGGCTGATTATCCTATGGAACTTGATTTCCTGTCTACAAAAGGGCACCTTTCTCACTGCACTGTTGCCAGAAACAGTCAAAAAGCATATAAAAGGAACTTGAGCATTTCTCATGCAAATCAAAATGGCCTTAGTAGTTATGCCTAATTTTCAGCACTGTGTTCCACTAGCAAGATGCTGACATTTTCTGTAAACACAACATCTTATGGTGCTATAAGTATAAATATCTTCTATCTGTTAACTACAGGTTCAAAATCCAACCGGAGGACCTTATACTGAATGACCCACCCATCGAAGATATTCCTGCCTGGAAGTCTTGGCTCAGACCCCTAATGGAGGTGGGAGGCACACCCAGCCCTGGTTCATCTCAAGGAGTCTTCAGTGCCCCACCTGGCAGGGTTTATTTATTGCCCCGTCTGCTTCTCAAAGCTGGAATCCCAGTCAGTTTAAGTAGATTCATTGGGGGAAGAAGTGGCTCATATGCTGTGGGCTTAAAGGCAGTGGTAGTACTACCTCATACTGTCACTAAATGCAAACTAGACTTCCAATACTATGGGGCCTGGTACTGTGTAATGTCATCAACCCCAACATCTCTCTTTAAATGTAACTGTTAATGTTCCTAACTGCCCAACCTTTTAGCCCCTAGCTACAAACCTAGGCAAGCATAACAGAAAAGAAAACAGATTTCTGTTTCCTGTTGGCAGCATAATAATAAAAATGATCACTGACTCTTGCGAGTCCCTTGGACTACAAGGAGATCCAAACAGTCCATCTTAAAGGAAATCAGTCCTGAATATTCACTGGAAGGACTGAAACTCCAATACTTCGGCCACCTGAGGTGAAGAACTGACTCATCTGAAAAGGCCCTGATGCTGGAAAAGACTGAAGGCAGGAGGAGAAGGGGACGTCAGAGGACGAGATGGTTGGATGACATCACTGACTCAATGGACATGAGTTTGAGTCAACTCTGGGAGTTGGTGATGGACAGGAAGGCCTGGTGTGCTGCAGTCCACGGGGTCGCAAAGAGTTGGACAAGACTGAGCAACTGAACTGAACTACATCCAGGGAAATAAGACAACTACTCTACACACTTGTCTCATTGAATTCTGATGATAACCCTGAGGAGTGTCAGGACAGCAGGTAAGGCCTCAGAGATATTGGAAGATTAAAGACCTCAAGTCAGGAGGCTAGTGAGTGGAAGAATAGGATATGACTCCATTCTGTCAAATTCTAAAGCACTCCCTTAACAATGAAGCCAAACCTCCTCTGAAAATATAGATGGCCCTTGACAACTTCTCATAGGTTCCCTTTGGAAACGTAAATTGGTGGGAATTTTTAGAGGCCTATTTGGCAATACCTATGAAATCCATAGTTTACTACGCATATCCATTGTCCTAGAAATTCCATTCCTAGAAATTCTTCCAAAAGAAATACAGAGGCATGCACAAATATTTAGCTCCAAGAATGTATCCCTGCATTATCTGCAACAGCAAAACTCTAGAGATGGCCTGTATGACCACATGACTAATAAATAAGCTAAGGTACTCATGTGGGATTTAATATTATGCAGCCATTAAAAGTCACATTGTAAAAGAACAGTTAATCATATCAAGAAAATGTTAATGAGATAGTTAAATAAAAGCAAATTAGCAAACAATATATGTAGTGTGATACTGATTTTGCAAACTTTTATATACATGCATTTAAAAAAGACAGGGTATCTAAAAAATGTTACATCTAAATGTTGGTGATGGCAGAATTATAGATGATTTTTATTTTCTTTTATTCTTTTATGCATTTCTATAATAAATATGTATGACTTATGTAATTGTAAGAAACAACAAATATATATCACTGCCGATCCTACTTTGGGAAATATTTAATCTGTTGATTCAGTTATTTGGTAGAAGAAAATAGCTCCTCAACCACTTTGGGGGTTTTGGATAATGAGAAAACAATACACTTCATTTATCTGACTATTGTTCTTATTTGTTCACTGAAGTATCCTTAATGAGATGACACAGTGCCTAGATTGAATAGACTAGCCACTTTTTGTATCTGTAGCTGACTCTCCCTGGCAAAGTAGTTTGAAGGAGTGGTTCTCAAACTTTGTGACACGTTACAGTCACTGGGGAGCTTCCTCATATCCTGGTACCCAGTTTGCAACGCAGACCAATGAAACCAGAACCCTGGGGTGCAAACCCAGGCATCATCATTTTTAAAGCTCACCAGGTGATTCCAGTATGTGGTCAAGCTTGAGGATTACTGGTGAAAAAATGGTGTTTATTAGGTTCTTGACGTCAGAGCGTGAAAAGTCAGTTAGCTTCTCACAGAGAAAAAAATATCCCATTTCCAAACATCTTGTATGTATGGTTAAATTTTAAAATGAGGTAATTCTTTTGACTCTGTCAATAACCAACAGAAAACAAAAAAGCATCTATCACAAGTAGGAAAGAGATACAAACTCCTCACACTTCGTATACTGTGAAGGTTCTGTCCTTGGATCCAGGTTTCTCAGCCTTGGGTGTGGGCACAGATGGGCTTCAGCAGGTCCTTCAACCCATGAAACAGCAGGCAAATTGAGTTTATGCTTATGAGCATTTTTATGGAGAGAAGGCGGACTTATAGGCCTTATACCTTTATCTAACTCTCCAAGGGATCTCTGTGCCCAAGATATGAACAGATAGCAAAATGGACTCTACTATGTGCCTTTACTGAGCATGGAAGTGGCCTCAAAGCTTGACCAATGAAGAGAGGTAGAACAGGCGAAGTTCATTTGCTCTTAAACAACTGCCCTTCTTGGCATAATGGGCCCTCCTGCTGGAGATGGGAATTTAGTTCCCATTAAGATAGCAGAATTTCCCTTCCAGGAGAGGAGGCAGAGCCTCAGATGGAAGGTGAGTTGCGTATTCTTAATTTAACTCATTTGGGGTCATTTCACTTCATTAGTTACTCAGTCACCTCACTTTCAAAACATGGACAGAAATACTGGCCTGCACTCTCCTCAGAGGTTTAGGGGTGGTCAAGAGGAAATCACATGGGCTATGTGTCTTCAAGGGTCAGAGCAGTCTGAGGGTTCACTGAAGCCCTTGTCGGGCTCCGGGCCCCTGAGCCTGTTAGTGACGTGTGGGCTGGCGGGGAGGCAGGGGACCAGCTCCCCGCGGTCCGGTCTGGCCATACCTGATCTGCCCGGTGGGTCCCTCACCGGAGGAGGAGGTCTCTCATTGGGCGGGGGCGGAAGAGGGCCCGACCGTCCTGGTGAAGGTAAGGGAGGCGCCGACGACGACGACAGGGACACGTTCCTCTGCGGGAGCCTCGGGATTTCGTCGCCACTGCCAGTGGACACGGGGGGCAGCGGAGGAGGGCCAGGACGGCTGGGGGGCGGAGGCGGCGGGGCCTGCGAGGAGGAGGAAGGCCGCGGGGCGGACGGCACCGGGGGCTTGCTGTTCTGAGGGGGAGGCGGCGGCACAGGCTCCCTGTGGATGGCCGGCCTGTTGCCCACCGGGGGAGGCGGAGGAGGGGGCTTGTCATCCAAGGCCCTGCTCGGAGTAGGAGGCAGGGGAGGCCTATTGGAGAAAGGCGTGGAAGAGCCTGAGGGGGTCTGACGGATGGAGCCTCCTCCGAAAGCAGCACCTCGGTTTCCGGGGAAAGGGGGAGGGGTCAGCCCAGGACTGGGCTGCCGGGGCCCCCCCGGCACTAGGGGGGGCCCCCGGTTGTGCAGACTTGACTGACTGGGTCTTGGCGTATTAGGCACTGGAGGGGGTAGGTTATCAGGCTTTGCGCCCACTTCGGGCCTCGGCGGAGGCATTCGGTTCCTCTGAAGCTCTGGGGGTCCGCTTCTGTGGCCTGCAGGAGGCACGGGGAACCTCCCTGCGCCGCTTGGGGGTGTGAAAGGTTTGGCGGATGTGGCTCTTCCTCCTGGTGGCAAGATTGGGGGTCGGCTTCCTCCAGACTCTGAAGAACAGGAAAAAAGCCGGAAAGTTAGGAACCTGAAAGGAAATCAGAGAACTAGAGTATATTGCCAGCTAATGGAAGCCCTTTCCTAGATGCTGTAGACTATAGGTAACTATTATTTATATAAATTGGGCTTCAGTGTGTCCTTCCTGGAGGCAGAGGAATAGATCACAGCTCTCTTTCTCTTCTAGTCCCAAATTCTACAACCCATCAGCTTTCAAAGGGATTCTGGAGCACTCCCTTGGAAGTGATGTTGCTAACAGTTCTGGAGAGATCACTGTTCATTACAAGAGGTCAAGAATAGAATGGGGCTGCTCCTGGGGGTTTCTGCTAAGGATTTTCTTTTCTCCCCATCACTATCCCAGTCCCCCCACCCTGTATCTCACGTTTGAGAAATAATTTAGCCATCTTCAGTTCAGTTCAGTCGCTCAGTCGTGTCCGACTCTTTGCGACCCCATGAATTGCAGCACGCCAGGCCTCCCTGTCCATCACCAACTCCCGGAGTTTACTCAAACCCATGTCCATCGAGTTGGTGATGCCATCCAACCATCTCATCCTCTGTCGTCCCCTTTTCCTCCTGCCCCCAATCCCTCTCAGCATCAGGGCTTTTTCCAGTGAGTCAACTCTTCGCATGAGATGGCCAAAGTACCGGAGTTTCAGCTTCAGCATCAGTCCTTCCAATGAACACCCAGGACTGATCTCCTTTAGGATGGACTGGTTGCCATCTTAGGTGAAGTTATCCCAACGTAAGTTTCTATATGGGAGGGCTTACCTAGCCCCTTTGTAAAGAAATGTGCAAGACAGGATGGGAAAATATAATGGAAGAATTATGGCTGAAATAAGAAACTGCAAAGGAAAAAAGAACCTGTTAAAAAAGAGCTGACACCAGGAAGTGGTCTTAATCTGGAAACAAGTAGGCAACTATACAGTTTTTTCCGTAGTGGGTCGTTCCACTTCAATAATATAGGACAGAACCACCCTATTACGTAATTAATGTTTGACTGCTTTGGTTCAACAAAGGGCAGAACTAAAGAGGAACCAAAGTTATGGAAAAATTCAAATCACTACTGTAGAGTCTCTTGCAACCCAAACTAATTCTTTAAAAATGCTTAGCCTGAAAACTCCTAACAGTTCAACCATGCACCAATTATTTATTGAGTACCGGCTGTACTATAAACCATTATTCTAGCTGCTAGAGGCAGAGGAGTAAACAAAAATAGAAACAATCCAGTTCTCTTGTAGTTTATGTTCTTATGGCAGAGATGAACAAAAACCTGGTAAACATAAATATTTTCAGATCATTATAAGTACTAAAAAGAAACTAAAATAGCTGATGAATCTGAAGAGTTCTAGAGAGGCCAGGACAGATGGAAATGGCTGGGGATGGCTCTTCTGGGGATGTGACATTTGAGCTAAGGCCAGCCATGGAAAGGAGGAAGAGAGGTGCTTCAGTTGGAGTGTCAGCAGGTACACAGGCCCTGAGGTGGAAGTAAGCTTAAGTTAAAAACCAAGGCTCATCTGCCAGAGACAGAGTGAGCACAGAGGAGAACGCTGTCAAATGCAGCCTGAGCAGCCAGCAGAAGCTGAGTGATAAAGAGCCTTGTAGGCCAGAAGGAGTTCAGATTTCATCCAAAAGTCCAATGAAAAACATTTGGCTGGATTTATACAGTGGAGTAATGTGAACTCTAGAGAGAATTTTTTGTTTTGACTTTAGCTCTAGAAATTAGCTATGTTTTCTTTGGCTGTGTGGTATGGTTTTATGTCACCAACCTGTGATAAGTTTTATCTTCAAAGTTTGGATAAAAGTGAAAGACAGTGAAAGTGAAAGTCACTTGGTCGGTTGTGTCCGACTCTTTGCAACCCCATGGACTATACAGTCCAGGGAATTCTCCAGGCCAGAATACTGGAGTGGGTAGCCTTTGCCTTCTCCGGGGGATCTTCCCAACCCAGGGATTGAACCCAGGTCTCCCACATTGCAGGTGGATTCTTTACCAGCTTGGCAACAAGGGAAGCCCAAGAATACCATAGTGGATAGCCATCCCTTCTCCAGCGGATCTAACTGACCCAGTAATTGAACCAGGGTTTCCTGCATTGCAGGTGGATTCTTTACCAACTGAGCTATCAGGGAAGCCCTTAAGGTACAGTTATTATCCATATGTACATCTACATGTAAGACCCAACATGCAAATTATATACTGTGAAAGCATATACTTCTGGCACACCTTTTGTGCACTAACTTCAATTCCATCTTCATTTAATTATTTTACTTCCAATTGTCTCTTGCCTAAATTTCCTCACTTACTATTAGAGTACTGAATGTATGCATATGTCTGCTGCCTCAAGACCTTTCATTGGGTTTTAAATATACAAATTTTAAATGCAGGCCTAGCAAGATAAAAATCTCTTATATTAGTGAGTCTCCCTCTAGATTTTGACAATCCAAAACTAAAATAGTCAGCTAACCCTGAGGATTCAGTGCCTTTATCTTCATGTGAATGTGAGAATTTCCCAGTGACATTTTAAAAGACCACAGAATTAGAAATAAAGTTCTTCCAGCACAGTAAACATTAAATAATAAAATTTCATGGAAAAATTTCTTCAGTTTCTGTCACAATCAGGGGAGAGCCTCACACACTCTATAAGGTTTTTAATTTAGGCATGACCAGGTTCAACTTTTCTTTCTGCCATTCTGTTCATAGACAATCCTTGTAAGACCCATTTCCATGGCTTCCTGCAGAGAATACTTCGAATCTCTGGCCCTGGAATGGCAAGTGTCTGTCAGGCAAAATGCCTTTTTAGATTTTGTGAGATATGTAATTATATTCCATATGACATGCTCCACTGTGTGTTTGAAAAGAGACTCACAAGTATTTACTCCACTAGACAGCTAGGTCAGACTACCTCACAAAGAAAGCTGAATCTGTCAGGTCACCAGGCAGAGTTTCCAGGGGTGGCTCTCATTTGCTCCTTCCTTTTCTTCCCAATCTAGTTCACCCTTTAGAAAAGTACAAGAAAGTACAATTTTCCCCAAGGACACTGGGCAAATATTTAACAGCTTGATGGAGCTGTCTGATCCTGATTTAAAAAGAAAAAACGATGCTAATGGAGTCCCTCTTATAAAACGGTGTTAGCATTTCAAGCAATCTAAAATGTTTTAAAGGGCATAGTGCCTTAGAGGGGATGCCAAGTCTCAAACCACCAGATTGTGCCTTGTCTTCGGTTACTAAGGGAAGGAAATGCTCTTTACCATTCTCCCTGTTGGCTGTGGATCTCAGCTTCGGCATTCCAGCCTGGAACAGTCCTCCCAAACCGGGTGGTCCACCTCCTCCAAAACTTCCACCACCTCCTCCACCACCTCCGCCATAGCTGCCACCACCACCACCACCAGCAGCAGCAGCAGCTCCTTTAGGTTCTGTAGAAGGAAGAAGACACATTCTTTTCACATGTATGAAGACACTTTCGGAGAACGTCACCAGTCCTGGCCCAAGTAAACAATAATGATACAGCAGGAAGCTGGCTGACCCTAAGCCCATGGTGGACAACTGGGATTTCATTAAAGGGTAGGATTTTAAGGACTCACCCTATCTCCAGTCAGAAAAGCAGAAAAGGGTTCTTTCTACTCCAAGGCTATCTCAAGCTCTGTGGTGGAAGAATCAGTAATAGATCATGTTTTTCGCCCACCTGGCTCACTGCCATATGAATTAATGATATCTATTTGTTCTATATAAGAAGATTTGGCAAATAAAATATATTCAAAGAAAGAATGTGTTAAGGGAGGAGAAGATGCAATAAAATGTGAGAAGAAAGTAAGAAGAAAGTAAAAACAGAAGAAAGTAAAAACAGAAGAAAGTAAAATATCCCATAATTTTGCTTCATGGAAATACCCACTGTTTTTGTATATTTTTTCCCCCTGCCAGTTTTTTCACTGTATACACTTTTTTTCTTAAAATTAAGACCAAATTCACTACATAGTTTTTAGTCTGCTTTTTTCACTCAATATTGTTAGCATTTCCCATGTTATTAAATATTCTCTGAAAACATGAGTTTAAAGGATTGCATTGTGTTTTAGAACATGAATGTGCTGTAATTTATTTAACCATTTACTTATTTGATGGCCTTTCAGGTTGACTTCAATTTTTTAAATAAAACCCAACAGTAGACTTTAACATTTTAAAAATTCTTTGCAACTTGAGATAATGTAAAGATTGTTTTATTTTGCATTTGTTGCCAAAAAAAAAAATTGTGAAAGATTCTGAAATGGGCAGACCAACAAAAAAGGAAAGGAAGAAGAAAGAAAAGGATTATCAAGTATCCAGTTAGCCTTCTGGGCCATTTCCCATTACCTTTGAGTTAATCTGTAACTCTGTAAATTGTAGAAAACTGAAAATAATGCAAATGTATTTGTCCATAGAAATGCATATTGGCTGTGTTCAGTGTAATTCAACTGATTATTGACGTATTTTACACTTATTTGCAAATTTATTTCAACACTCACCTGCCTGCATATGTGTGGTACTTAAAATTCTCCTTTGAATTGATAACATCATATTGGTTCCCTCATTAAATTAATGAGCTCAATAAAATATTTGATATATGTTTATTTTATATCCATATTAGAGCCATGATTTTACCCTCTTTAAAAAACTATCTCTTAACAATTTATGTATGTATGTTTTATGAAGCTAAGTACTGTTTAAAGTTCTACCCCTGGAAAACCTTGTTGAGTCTTTGATAAGTATTACATGATATCTACAAAATAATCTGAGAGAACTGACACTTTTATGATATTTGGCCTTTATGGAAACATGCTATGTTTTCCCGTGTCTTCTGATTCATTCAGTAAAATTTTATAATTTTCATAATGAGAGTCACCCATACTTCTTTCAGGGTTACTTCGTACACATTTTTGTTGAAATGATGAATGTTTTTGCTACTGTAGTTTGGATATGGTTATTATTGGCATCAGGAAATTTCATTTGATATCTAATAAGTCACTTTGCATTTTCAAAATTGAAATTTATTAATTTTTTACCTTGGATTTTATGAGCTTCCCTGGTGGCTCAGATGGTAAAGATTCTGCCTGCAATGCAGAAAGCCTGGGTTCAATCCCTGGATCAGGAAGACCTCCTAGAGAAGGGAATGGCAACCCACTCCAGTATTCTTGCCTGGAGAATCCCCCATGGACAGAGGAGTCTGGTGGGCACAGTCCATGGGGTCTCAAAGAGTTGGATGCAACTGAGTGACTAACATTTTCACTTTGGATTTTCTAACAGAAAAATGGTCTGCAAATCATAAAGGTTTTACCTCCTCTTTTCTAACAGTTGTATATCTTATTTCTCTTTTATATAAGAAATTACTTTGATGACTGAGTTTCCATGATATTATTAATGTTTTATTAATTTAAAGATGGTTTATTTTAAAATAATTATAAAGAATAAATATACATTATATATTTATCTTAAAAGTAAGTTATTAATGTCACCAGTACTATAAAACTGAGTAAATCATATTTTGATTTTAATGAGAATTACTCTAATGTTTCAAAGTTACATATTGACTGTTGGTTTGAAATAACTTTTTTTTCTTCTAAATATTCATAGTTAGCAAGGATTGTTCCACTCTGGGTTTTTAAGACTATTTTATAGCATGGAATTTTATCAAATGCCTATTTAGGATTTACTGAGATCATTATATAGTTTTCCTTATTTGGTATGATGGATATATAGACTTTCTAACATTAAAAATGAGATAAACCCTGGTCTTGGTAAAATATAAAATTATTATTTTTTAATACTGTATACTACTGAACTAGAGTCTGGTTTTTTAGTATCCTTTCATCTATGATCATAAGTGGTCTATACGTAGTAGGGTTTCTTAATCTTGGAACTACTGACATTTTGAGTCAGATAATTCTTTATTGTGGGTTCTCTGTTGTTATTCTCTGTAGAATGTTTACAGCATCCCTCTGCCCACTAGATGTCAGTAGGAACACCTCCCTCAAGTTGTAATAACTAAAAATGCCATTAGGCATTGCCACATGTCCCCTGAGACATTGATACATGTTTTGATATTAGGATCATTTTAGTCTCATTACACCGATCAGGTAGCTTTCCTGTCTATGTTTAGGGATGATTTATATAGTGTTTGAATTAGCTATGTCTTAAAATCTGGATTTTCTGATAAAAATTATCTGGCTCTAAAGCTTTGTAGAGAAAAAATAATTTGATAAAGTTTTCAATTTTTCCCTTGTTCATTGAGGCTTCATAAGTGATTTCTGGTAAATCTGTACTTTTCTTAAAAAATTAAGACTTCAAAATGTTTTAGCATATAACTTCATTGTAGCATCCTTAGTTTTAGAAAATCTGCTTTGAATCATTTATTTAATCTGCTTTCTGAGCTCTGTTTTATTCATTGATGTTTTCTTTTTTTCTGGACTGTTGTATTGTAAGTCTGTGTTGGCTCTGTACCTTTTCTAGGTATAAGACTTTCTGGGATACTGATGGGAACTGCTAATAGAACAATCAATCTGATAATGAGCTCACAAGAATTACTTCACATAATAAGCTATATCAAGTTAGAGTAACAGTTTCTGGAAGTGTGTGTAAAATTGCTTCCTAATAAAATTTAAACTTTTACTAATTTTAATTATTGCCAGTAATATGAATAATGTCCTTGTCATTCAAATGTTATTCACTGATGAATGATACATTTTGGAATACTACAGTTCATAGGACACCTTTACCTAGTATTGAACATTCAAAGAGAATGATGTACTGTTCTAACAGACATTATACATTAGCATTCTTAACTTGCAGCATTTGTGCTGCTTTCAGATAGGAAAACTAAACTAGTTGAGGTTAGCTAACTGACTCCAGGTCACTTTGTTAGCATTAAATTGCAGGACAAGGCTGACCTCAACTGACCTCAACATGCATAACCATGGTCAATATTTTAACATAGAGCCCAGGGAGGTTTTACCTGCAAACAATACAAAACCATGAATGAACTCTGCCCCTTGTAAAGAGCTTGAGACAACAGTGTTAGTGTCCAGTTAAGTTCATGGACAAAAACGGCATGCATTGGTTTGCACCTGGGGTCCACAAAGCACAGTGCATTCTTAAACATCACTGAAAGGGAGAACACACACTTATTTCCATTTTAATGAGAGAAGTGTATCTTGAAGAATATAATGAATTTCCTCTAGTGGATTCAGAACTAGGCCCCAGACTGTCCATTCTCCTTCAACATCTAGGGAATTCACATCTACCTCTCCAGAGTCTGCGCTCCCTCTAATAGTGAGAGAACCATTGGGCTCTGTTCTGGAGGTTGGCAGTTTGCAGATGGAGTTCCTCTGGCCCCATAGCAGGCACCACGATTCAACGGTGTTGGATGTAGGCTCCCCAGACAGAATTGCCTGGGCTGGGCAACCCCCAGGGAGAACCTTGTGACAAAGATAAGGAAAACTAAGGGACTGATTGTACACTAACCATACCATTTTGTGGGCATTTTGACCCATTATAGATAAGAGTTTGTTGAAAGTCAAAGACCCGCTAGTTCCACTGAGGTGTGGTGCATTCTGATCTGTACTACCCTGCCCAGTAACAGAGCAACACTCAAAGGCCTTTGTCATGACATTCCTCTTTCTACCTTCCTCCCACACCAGTGTTCTCACCTAACTCTCGTCTTTCTCTTCTACTCATTAGGATTCCCTGGTAGCTCAGCTGGTAGAGAATCTACCTGCAATGCAGGAAGACCCCGGTTCAATTCCCAGGTCGAGAAGATCTGTTGGAGAAGGGGTAGGCTACCCACTCCAGTGTTGGGCTTCCCTGGTGGCTCAGCTGGTAGAGACTCCACCTGCAATGTGGGAGACCTGGGTTTGATCCCTGGGTTGGGAAGAGCCCCCAGAGAAGGGAACAGGTACCCACTCCAGTATTCTGGCCTGGAGAATTCCCTGGACTGCATAGTCCATGGGGTTGCAAAGAGTCAGACACGACTGAGTGACTTTCACTTTCACATCTCATAATTCTCATCTTTCTCTTCTACTCCATTAGGCACTTTAACTCCTAGAAACTCTTCCTAAGCGCTTCTAATCCTCCAGTCGGCTAAAATCCTACATCATTATTCCCTTGTCTACAAAGCTCCCTCTGGTGATTTCTGGGCAGTCTATTTTCTATTGAGTCCAAGTGGGATGCATAGTCGAGGACAAATTCTGGGCATACCTTGCTGGCAGTGGAAATGTCTAGGAGCGCAAGGAGATAGTCTTGAGGCCTAATAATTAACTTCTGGTAGATTTTAGTAATCTGTAATGTTTCATTCTGTTGTAAATGTTAGTAAGTAGCCCTGTATGGTAGGTGCTTGTTTGTTTATACATACTCTGTTTTGTTTCAGAAAGTAGCTCAGATTTATGATGGATTTAAGCAAAGTTGTGATCTCATTTCTTCTCTCTCCAACCTCATAATAATCATATCTGTACACGTGAATTATACATTCTGGGCAACATAACACTCTCATAAGCATTGTCTCATTTGATGCTCACAACAAATGTATAAGGGCAGTGAAACAGGTATTATCTCTATTTTACAAATGGAGACAAAGGGTTGAAGATGGTCAGGGCTTAAATCTACATTCTTTGATTCCAAGACTAGGGCTCTTTCCAAATTTCATGCTGCCTTTTGCTCTGTGGCAAGACAAGGGGTTAATTTCCAGAAAGTGTTGTAAAGTGTTGTGAATAATTCAGAGAATCACTGCTGTGTGTGTCTTGGACAAAGAATTATTATACTGGCTTCCTGCAGCATTAGAGGGAACCCAGGCCAGAGCCATGGCCTACAATGAATGATACAGTCCCTTATTCTGCTAGCTTCACAGCTGTTGTTAACAAAAAGAAAAAAACTTTTGGTGGGAAGGGTAGGGTTGATCATTAGGTCATAAACCACTTATCTCCATGGAAAATAACTTTTTTTAAACTTACTGTCCAATATTGGTGCACTTCTGTCATTGGTGACTGTCTTCTTTAGTTTCTTCCCTTTGCTGATGTCAGAGAGCAGAGCATTTCTTCCAGCCTGCTCTGACTTACTCAAGGAAGGCTTTTCTGTATTGGCCTGAAAGGAAACCATGCAAACATGTATTCATCTTCTGAATTAACATCATATACTACAGCACTCAATGAGAACAGCTAGAGTACTGGAAGCTTGTTATTAAGGTTCTTGGCAATAGGCTGTAAATTCTCCACAAGTTTTAGACCCGATGTCATTCTTTTTAAGATCCAGACATTTGGGAGCAGATGCAGCAATAAATTACATTCATTTTTCATGCAGGAAGAGTCAGTCCCTGATCAAAGTCTCTGAAAATTCAGACCACAATCTGGCGGTAACTGACAGAGCCAGGGTTGGGTGGCTAGAGACGAGAAGGGAATTTTAAGTCTGAGAGGACTGCAGGATACTGTGAGGCTTCATCTTCTAGAATGTTCTCTGAAGAACATATTCTCTTTCCTGTCTTTTGGAACTAACCTGATGCAAGAGGAAAACTGCCTTTAGTAAAAAGGGTCAGCTATATTTTTTAATCCACCAAAATTTTAGAAAATAATTCCCTCTGGTTACATTGCCAGATAATTTTTTCTTTTTAATTTAAAGCAGATTGGAGGTATATGGTACATATAGTTTTTACATTTTACATATAGTAAAATTGCCCCTTTAGTGTAAAGTCCTGTGAATTCTGACAAACATATACAATCGTGTAGCCTAAGATTTCCTTTACCTCCCAAACTCCCTTCACATCCTTCTGGCCTAAGGGGTTCCTCATGTGTAATCCCTTTTTACAAATTGTTTATTTTTTAATTCTTTTCCACTATGGTTTATTACAGGATATTAAATATAGTTCCCTAATTCTTTTGAAAGCTTACCTCACAGAGGCTGCACAGTAGACAAAGGTGCTACTTTAAAACCTTTGGGTATTTTCTATGATTTCAGAGTTTTTGGGAAAGCTCCTTACTGTGAAATTAGGATCTTGTTTTTCCAGAATTCCTTTGGGGAGCAGGGACACCAAGAGCCCAGCAAATGGACTCAGAAGTGGGCATGTGCCTGTGTCTGTCACACCTGGAAACTGGCTTGGTCTGGCCTGGTCCCAGGCAGAGTCGTCTTCCCCAAACCTAGAGGTGCTTCTGGCAGGCGTGAGAGTCCTTCGAGGGACTCTGAAAGGCTCCGATTTCAGATGTGCCAGGAAGGGCCACAGGGAGTAAACCTGGGCAAGTGTAGCTTGACACCTGACCCAGCTGTTTATTATAGTTAGAGGCAGAGGGAGAGCTCAGAAAACCCTGAAGCAGGTTAAACAGAAATCTGTGTTAAGCTGAAAGGTTTTTAAAATAATTAAGGTATCACTTGCTCATGATAATAACAGCTAGCGTTTACATAGCTTTTACTGTGGATCAGGAATCATTTTTAGCATTTTATGTATATTAATTCATTCAGTCCTCATCAACCCTGTGAGTTTATAGAGTCAAGGAAACTAAGGCACAGGGAAGTTAAATCATCACTTGGGTCACCCAGCTCATAAGAGAAGGAGCTCGGATTAAAAACCTGGCAGCCTGGCTCCAGAGCCCAAGAACCTGACAGCAGGATGAACATGGGGTCCCGAATGCCTCTTCCCTAAATTGGGAAGATGTTAAAGAGTACAAACTTGCAACTAAAAGATGACTAAGCTCTGGAGATCTTAACTGTACAGCAGAGTTATTAAAGTTAACAATGCTGTATTATACACTTCAAAGCTGTTAAAGAGACCAGAACTTAAAATGTTCTCACCACAAAAAAGAAATAATAATTATGTGATGTAATAGAGGCATTACCTAAAACAACAGTGGCAGTTATATTGTAATACATAACTGTATCGATTCAACATGCTGCACACCTTAAACTTACACAATGTTATATGTCAATTATATCTCAGTTGAAAAAAACAGATAAAATGCCCTTTGCCTACTGACCTCCAACCCTCCTCTGAAGCAAGCCTGTTTAAGAGCTTCTCAGCAGTCAGTTCCAGAAAGGTTCTTTGCATATACAGTTCACTTTTGCTAATGGGATCATCCTCTATTGCTGAAACTTGTTTTTATAACTTAACCATGCCTTGGACATCTTGGAAAGAGCTTTCTGAATTACCTATTGTCTTCATCCTAAAGATAAAACCTGAGGCCTAAAGAGGGTTAATAACATGTCCATGTTGGTTTTCTTCATGGTTTTGGGTCAGCAACCCTTCTTGGCCTCCTGTTCTGCCTCAAAATTTATTGATAACTCACTATTAAACCCTGGGTGTGCTAGTTATAATTTTTCAAATACACATTAAAATAAAAACATGAGCATTTTTTTTTTTTTTTAAAGATCAAGGCATGAACTACCCAGCAGTGGTACACAATTACAGTTTTCGGGAAATGTTCAACAGATCAGAGCTTCTCAAACTCATTTTAGGGAAGGGTGAATTTTTACGAAAAAAATTTCCAATCCATCATGGACCGATATTTTGTAAAATAACAATGAATTATTAGAAAAATGAATTAGTTTTAAAAAGACACACAAAATACAATCTTAGAAGCAACAGACACAACACCATTATCAGATTGCTCTAAATTACTCTAAATTTCCATGTTTATTTTGGGGGGACTCTAACCAGGAGTTGGAGGATCACACTTGGAATAGCAACGAGCTAATTAATGGTCTGTTCTCCCAACTAGGGTCCAGCCAGAGACGGGCTAGAAAGAAGCCTGGAAGCCTGGGCAAAAGACTGTCTCTGAGCTTCAGTTTCCCCGAGTGAAGAGTGAAGGCATCACATGCTAGGGGTGCGTCTGGAAGCCTTTCCGGATTACTGCATGGAGGGCTGCTTGGAAGAGGCTTCCTGGAAGAGGGTGCACTAACTTCCGGGACAAGTCCATCATGCGGAGGAATGGGCCCAGAGAATACATTCCTTGGGAAAGTACACATGGAAATGTGAGGATGGACTTAAAGGGTGAAATAAGGGTGTTGGGGAGGATGGAGTGGGAGATGGGGGTTATTTGTCAAAAACAGAGTGAGAAGAAAGATGGGTAGAGGCAGAGAAAAAGAAATGAGTGAGTCTGGAGGACACGTTAATGGATACATTTTCAGATAGATGGACAGACCTGGGTTTCTGGACTATCCTGCCCAGATGCTAAAGGCTAGAAGCTGAGTCCATTTGAATAGAAAAAGGGCAAACTGGGCAGAATTGGTCCTGCGAACCTGTCCTGGGCCAGCATGTTTGAATGAACAGGATGTCTCCCCTGACAGATGAGGTAGAGCAAACCTAACTAATCCATATTCTGCATGTGTCCTCTGCATTGTATGAGACTTTAGACTATGAAACATTTTCATATAGTCCTGCTGTATCTCAGGGTCTGGCTTACTCCAGCACCTGGAAACCTTACCATATCATTCATATTTAAGCCAGAACGTAAACACACTGAAAACTAACACATGTGTGCCAGGTTCGAGTCTGTTTAGCTTGCTTCACGCATGGATCACAGATGGGGAGAGCCACTCACCAGAGCAAATGTGGGCGGAGGCGGGGGCGCTGGAGGGGGTGGGACGGGCATCTTGAACAGTTAGCTTTCAACAGTCTGGATGACAAATCTGTAAAACAAAACAGAAAGAAACAAAGTGCCGTCATGTATTAGGTGTCTCTGTAATTCTCTGTCCTAATCTTTCTTCCCCTTTTGCCTCAAAGGGACAGTCTGAGTTTCTATAAGAGGTGGGATTCCTTCACAACATGGCTAGGATGTTACTCTTCTGGAAGGATGCCAGCCTGGGAGGATTCTCAGCCAGACCCTCAGAGTGCCTGGAGATACTGAGAGCAAAGTGCAGCGCCACAGGTTGCTTAATCCCACCACCACCAAAGCAGGTCGGGGAAGGCTCCTGGTCTGCAGCCCGAGAAAGCCAGGCGGTTATCGGGAAACGACTAGTAGTGCATCCCAGCCAAGACTGACGTTCAAGTGGCTCCTCTCCCTCACTTGTCTCCCTGGCGCAGTCCACTCCTGGGCTTGCCCACTCAGAGCCCCGCAGCGTTTCTTCTCTGTCAAGAGATTCCTGACATCTGTCTAGCTCTGAGTAGCCCCACAGGGATGTAAAGATAAATCTATTTCTATTCTTTCCCTCGAAGTTCTTCCAGTCCTCGAGGGAAAGGAGATGGGGACAAGGTAGGATGGGCAAGGAGGCCAGGTTCCCACCTCTGTACTACTCGGCATTTCCTTACAGGAGCCAGAGGCAAAAAGAGAGGAGGACTCCACCTCTGACTTGGAGCTGTTTACTAGAAACAGGGTTCCTCAGAAAGGCTTTCTGCAGAGTGTGATGCTCAGGGGACAGAGGGAAGGCCAGACTCCAGGCTGCAGCACAGTATAGGGGAGCCATGGTGGGCAGCGGCAGTAAAGAGGGCAGCCTCATCAACGTCAGGAGATGAAGAAGCAAGGGGAAGGATGTGCCCCAGGAGTGATGCGAACCACCACTCCTGGCCCCTTTTCCCCCAGGCCTCAGAGTCCCTGGGTCTCAGCCGATGCCCCACCCCTCAGCCACTTTCACACCCTCAGCATCCCAGCTTCTCCCACCTAGACCTCGCTACTCCTGGATCAGCAGGGCTCCCAGATCAGTCTCGGATCATCACCATGAGAAACATCACATCTCAGCCCTGCTGCCCACACTGAATTTGTTTCAGCATTTTAACAAGATCGCTGGGTGATTCATATGCATTAATGTTCAAGAAGCCTGGTCACGGAGCCTTAAACCAAGAGAGCAGCCCGGGATACTGACCACATGAATAACACTGTTCCTACGTAATATGTGTCCTGAATTTCAAACAGCAGAATTATCTTCCTTTTATTTTCAACAGTCTCTTAATTGCAGAAAACAGTTTCTTAGAATTTAAAGTATTAATTTAGCTCAACCACTAAAAGTTGAGGGAAACTTACACCTTGAATCAAATATAGATGGCCCTCGAACAACGAGTTTGAACTTCACGGATCCACTTAGATATGGATGTTTCTCCATAGTAAACATTGCAGTGCTACACCATCTATAGGTGATTGAATCTAAAGATGCAGAACCAGGGTACAGGGGACCCATGGATTTGAGGAGCGACTATGCATGGAGGATCGGTGCCTCTAACCTCCATATCGATAGTTCAAGGGTCAACTGTACTTTCTGTTGAAGTTTTGCTGGATGGCTTGCTTTCTGTGATGTTAGCAGAATGGAAAAGTTAACAGGACATGACTCGTCAAAACTTCTGGAAGACAGGAATCAACACAGTTCTGTTCTGAGTGCCTTCTATAAAATGAAATTTAGAAACCTCTAGAGCAGCAACAGCTGCGCTCATTTATTGACAGTCAACTGGATAATAAAGGGCACTCTATTTCCATCGTCTCAAACACATTTTACAGGGGAGGACGCTGGGACTCAGAAATCAATAATGCATTAAAATGATGTGAGAGTTGTTTACATCAAGTCCTTTGGATCTCTGCTCTTTTTAGATAAGCATTTTCAGGCAGGTGAAGGGCTCACTAGTATTGCAGCTCACCTTAAACTCGGTCAGAATCTGGTTTTCAAAAAGAGCTTGTCTCAGACAGGGATCTGTCTCTTATTGTTCCTTACTTTGGTAAGAAAAAGTCTCAGGATCTGTCCCTTACTGTCCCTTACTTCTCTTGACAGAGAAGAAACACTGTGGGTACCAAGCGGGCAAGCCCAGGAGAGGACGGCGCCATGGAGACAAGTGAGGGAGAGGAGCCACTTGAATGTCAGTCTTGGCTGGGCTGCACTGTCCCTTACTTTGATCTTTCCTGGGTAACACCAGTCACCCACAGGGCTGCATGGGCAGTGTAAACAGAGTTGGGGGCCTGTGCTTGGAGGCTATAAAGGGGGTGCTCCAACTGCAGGGGCACCTTCAGAGGCCTCAGTTGTGTCCCAGGACCAGGAGGAAGAACAAGGGTCTGAAACTGGATTCAGGCCCAACAAACTGTCAAAGATGCTGTGGCCAAAGCAATGGTATTAACAGAGCTAAGGCTCTTCAAGGAGGAGGGTGGCTGGGTCCACCCAGAGGGCCCGAGAGACGGGCTCCATGGGACAGACCATCCATGTGTTTGGTGGATAAAAGGCCCCTCAATGCTCCAATTCATCATGTCAGATTCTGTGCTCACTGACTAGTCTGCCATCCTGTTATCCTAGGACCAAGAAAGAAGTGAATTCTAATCACCACCAGGAACCTCTTCTGGGTTTGGTTCTCAGAAGTCTCTGGTTGCAAAGATCAAATTGAACTTCTGTCCTGTACACCTTAGGGGCCAGGCGATGGGGCAGGGGCTCTCTCAGGAGACTGTCACCCTGCAAGGCCTCCTTAACTCTCTTATAGTTTTCTGTTGCTATTGTGGTTCTCTCTGTGCATTAACTGGCTTATAAATAAACCTCTGGACCACAGAGCCGGGCTTTCCCCTGCCCCTGACCACCTCACATAAACAACAGGGTGAGGATCTGCGGGTGAGCGCTCTTACCTTTCCCAGGCTCAATTCTCCTTTCCCTCCACTGCTGCAGCTCCCACTGCCCCCCTGCCTCACTCTCCCCCAGATAAACCACTCCTACGCCTGCCTCCACGCTGAAAGCTGATTCCAGAGGCTGCCATGGTCTCCTGGCTCCTTGCTAGCTGAACAGCTGCTGGTCTGGACTTGTCCAGGCTGGACCTTGAGGGAGGTTTGTGAGAAACCCCAGACTCTCAACCTGCCAGCCCAGCACACAGGTCAAAGGAGATCAGTCTCTGTCCCGCATGCCAGGCCCTTGCTGGATCCCCTTCTTGGCTGTCTTTCCACCCCGCTGTGAATACCAGGTCTCCCCAGTACATGGCACATAGTCTCACTGATTATGTGGGGGAAGTGAAAGAATCAGGTATCACACAAACAAGCCATATGCTGGCCATTGGAACAGCTCCCAGCATCAGCCCTGAGCACCCCGGGGCCTGGGTAAAGAACCAGTCCCACAGCAGAGGGACAGGCCAGCTTTAAGTCTGGGCGCTTAGTTTCTTGACTTCACCAGAGAAATAGAGTCCAAGGCCGCGGAAGAGCCACGTCAGAACCAAGACTGGGCCTGACGGAAGGGCCTCAACATCAGCCTCAATTCTAACAGGCAGGCCTTCCTAGCCTGGATCTCCATACCCACAAGGTCTGTGGACAGAATTCAGGGAAAAAAGGGACATACTTATTTCCCCTAAATTCTAACTACAAGTTAGCATTTCCTTCAATTATAAATCTAGGCCACAAACCACACCTGAAACCTTTTCACCAACAGTCTTTCACGTGATATTTTTACATCATAGTGTAATTTTGCAGGTCTCTTTGGAAGCTGAGGCAATGATCTGCTCCTAGGCCTTGTTGTACCCATTGCACTGCAACTGGTTTCCTTAGTCATCCTCTGTATTTTGTTTTACGCATTTAACAGCAGTCAGGGAAGGAGTAGGAGTTTGGGGGCTTTACCAGACACCAGTGTGGCCTATGGATGAAAACAGTTAGAATCTCTGTGAGAACATGAGTCCTGGGTCAGGAGAACACGATCGTGAATTTCTGCTCTGCTGCTAATAATCTGGGATAAGACCGAGCTCGCTGTTAAATGGGGGTGTGGGAAGGATGAAGTGAACCAGCGCAGCAGGGCTGGGCAGGGTAAGCAGTCAGCAGGTGGGTCCAGAGCCGTGGTCCCTGACGGGAGCACAGGTCCTGCTGGGGGAGAGCCACTCAAGCACCTGGCAGAGGGTGGCCAGGCCTGGAGACGGAGCCGAGGCCCTGGCTGTGTCCTGTGTGGGTGTGGCCGCCCCGTGGAAATGAGGCCGCCTGAGGGCTTGGCCTCCTGCATTTCGATCTGCCCTCAGGAGATAAAGTCCCACAGGAAAGGCAGCTCGGTTCCCCGGGTGGGACGGGCTCTTGAAGAAGGGAAAGAGTGAGTGGGATAAGGGCTTCCAAAGTGCGGGCGGTCAGCTCTCACATGGGAACCAGGCTCCTTGGAGTTGGAGGACCACAGTCCTACCCATTTAATGATCCTTCCTCTCCCACCCTCCCCAGGCACCGAACTTCTAACAATATACACTTTCGAGAATCAGTTGCTTTTAGAGAATCATTTCACTGTTTTTTGGTGTGTTTTTTGGCTGCCTCGAGGCATGTGGGATCTCAATTCCCTGACCAGGGATTGAACTGGGTCCCCTGGAATGGAAGCGCTAAGCCTCAACCACTGGATCTCCAAGGAAGCCCCTCATTTCACTGATTTTAGTTGTTGTTGTTTGTTTTAAAATTAAGACAGTAAGCAGCCTAGATGCCCATCAGCAGACGAATGGATAAGGAAGATGTGGTACATATACACCATGGAATATTACTCAGCCATTAAAAAGAATTCATTTGAATCAGTTCTAATGAGATGGATGAAACTGGAGCCCATTATACCGAGTGAAGTAAGCCAGAAAGATAAAGACCATTACAGTATACTAACACATATATATGGAATTTAGAAAGATGCTAATGATAATCCTATATGCAAAACCAAAAAAGAGACACAGATGTACAGAACAGACTTTTGGACTCTG